CATGAATATGGGGTCCAGTGACACAATGTTGATCTGTTCCTGCCCTTGTTATGCAAGTTGTCTATGTTGTGTGCTGAGGGTTGTATTCCATATGTATTGAGGGCTGCATTCAAGAATTAAGGTTGAGTCCGGATTCATGAATTATGATACTCATTTAGTTTGCCTGCTTTTGTAACTAATTATCTCCCACAGAGCAGAGTTGTTGAAAAGTTAGTAGTCACTTAGCTTCTAGCACTTGTTGTTTTTCATGGAGCCTGAAGGCCCTACTGTGTTCTCTTAAGCTTGAGGATGAATCCATACCACTTTCCCATAACATATATTTTTGTATTATCCACCCGTGTATGCCTGTATCTTGCAGGTGGTCTCCACTGTACAGGTATTTTACCAATGTTTTTTTTATTACATATTTTTAGTATCTGCGATGCATGGTTCATGTCCCACTCACCTCGTTAGTGATTTGACCATCGTGATATTTGGTGTAGGCTTCGTGTTTAATATAATTCTCTGAAGTGAATGGATATACCAGTGGCCATGTCTGTCCGCCCATATGTTATATCTCTGAAACTACCGAATAGTTTTTGGTTGAATATCGTACTGAGAACATAGAGCAATATTTAAAGTTTAGCTATTTTAATTTTGGTTCTTGTCGGTACAGTGTAACTACTTCGCACAAATCAACTTATAGCGTTCACGAAAACTACTCATTGCACGATAAATAAATAAATAAATATAGCAAAGGTCTACAGTCTTTATATGAACCATTTTTCGGTGCTGTGAAGTGTTAAACGAAGTACAAGGAAGTTATTTGTATTATTCATTGTGATACCTGCAATGTCATTAGCTTTGCGGTAATGGGATTGTTTCTGCAGTAAATGAGTAATGAGGTAGCCTGTAATCTAAATAAGATTTTGTGGTACTGTAGTTTGTAGTAAGTGCACTTTTGGAATTTTGAGCCTGGAATTGGCATTTTTTATTAAAAGCTCTACAGCCGGTTGTTGGCATTGGTAATCAGCTGATTTTTCTTGGTGTTCTACTCCATTTGAATTTGCCATTAAATGAGTCACAAGCTGTTTCGTCTTGCATTCTTCCATTTCACCGCTCGTAACCATCGTCGACCCCATTTTCGCTAAATAAGTCCGGTAGTTGATACAGTGCCGTTAACTTACAGATCAGCCATTGAATGACTTTCAGATGGTGACAGTTTCAGCAGGCATACAAAAAGCAGCTGTTACAGTCGCTGCCTCTCTCTCATCTTGTCATCTTGCCAGGGTGTGGCCTCTTTCCGTCGGCTAAATTGTAAAATGAGCCTGGTTAGATCAGTCATTATAGTGACTGGATGCGGGGCTGGACTACCGAGGTTCGCTTCTCGACAGGGGCAGGGATTTTCTCCCGTCTAACTAGTATCAGGGCTTGTTTCGTCGGTGGTGAAGCAACTGCCGCTTGGCGCAGAGAACTTCAATCTTTGTTTACATTTTACCCAAACTGTAAAAGTTGTTAATCAGGAGGAAGTAAACCGACTCTAGGAACGTTTTGTTAAATGTCTCCGGAATGTGAGTGCCGTTTTCTGTGCATTGGAATGAACGTTGGAAGTTACAACATTGAATATTAACTCCACTGTATAGAATCATTAATCAAGAAATCCACCAATTTTGTGGGACTCAAAGACTCATTGCTGTGTTCATCAACGTTCTCAGTAAGACTTAATTCTGTGCCTGCTAATTCCAATCTTACTTTCACACTAATTTTTCTAATATCTGCTTTAATATTATCCTCTCATATACACGCGTATATCTGCAGTTTTTCTCTTCGCCTAATTTTTTTTTTGAGAAGCATTTTGTGCCATTTCTCGTTTCTGTGTGCGTGCTGTGGTCCACCCCTGTCGTCTCTCGTGATTGTCAACTTAATTACGCGACATGGGAGCTCTTAGTTGTGTCAAAACAATTTTTTGGTTTAGCAGTCGTATCGATGTTAGCTGTGCACCGTGTATAGATAATTAAAACATATTGGTTTTATTAAACTGTGGAACCATTAAAAAGTAATTGATTAATTCATGTAGGTTCTGGGGCACCTACTCCAGTATTCTTTTCACCTGTTGCTGCATAGTAAAGCTGTTGCAGTCTCCAGGAGAGTCGCCATGTTTCTACCAGTAGGCAGGTGACAAGATCAAGGCAGAGGAAGGGCTGGGAGAATCAGTGGAGCATAACACCGTGGGGTCAGCGACTTGGCACACTATTTACGAGACAAGGGAACCAATACATTTCATTTCCAGCATCCGACATACACATTATCGGGCCCGTAAAAGAACAATCAGCACAGACAGAGTCGTATTCGTTTAAATGTGGATTTTCCGACGTCCCGCTAGGCATGACACGTCTTCCCGTAATCAGAGAACTCGTTTCTTTGCTTCCTTGCGCGAAATCCATGAAATGCGCGCGGTATGAATAGACAGTGACCGTTCTTTTGTTTCATGAAGTGTGGTACTGGATGTAAGGATCAACCATGAATCTTCCAACCTTGGCATATAAGGAAAATAATGACACACACTAACCATGCCCGTATGATATCAGAGTTTCTTAAAGGTGTGTCTAATTCTTACGAACGTAATGTTCGTGTAATGTTTTATTTATTGGTTCGTTAAATTGTAACAATAACTGCGAAGGCACGAGAAACATTTCACCTTTACTTTAGAGGAATAGATTCGTAATATTATGTAATTCTAATCAAACTATCATCACCGCGTTTGTAGTAAATAATGATGTTTCAGAAATTTCAGGATACTAACCACGTAGTACACTTTATTGTTGCCGTTGGTTCAAGGAGTCCTTCTGCAAATTCCCCAGTTGACACACAGAATTGAAGGCACCTGTAAACTTCATGACGCGTGTAGAAAAGGACATATAAATAGGGACTGCCCTATGCCCCATGTGTGCGTGCGTGTTTCTGGTTTTGAAAATAAAGGATACGATGGTTGGGGGGGGGGGGGGGGGGGGGGGGGGGGGTGGCGTTAGTTAACAATGCGTTTTTAACCGCAGTAGCTATAGACAGGTGCATGTTTTTGACTGCGGTAGTACAGGCCGAATGTCTATTGATCGCCGAGACGTAACAATGCGCTCA